ACATAAGGCAGAAATAGAGGTACAGAACAAATACAAGATGTCTCAGAAGCAGAATTCACATTTTAGAGCCAAACCTTCTTTGTAAAACCCCACATAGAAGCAACCAAGCAGACCAAACCCAAATATATTTTTAGAGCACTTACCACACTTGACAGCCCTTCATAGGCACAATCTCATTTCATCTCTACGTCCAATGTGAGTGATCACACCAAGTGGAAACCATTATGTGCTAAGGAAACTCGGGCTCAGACAGTTTAAGTAACTTGCCCACATTGCTGAGTTGCTCAGCTAGAACTTAACTCACACCTGTCTGACCTCGCAGACTGTGTTTTTTTTTTTTTAATCCTTTTTATTATGGGAGATTTCAACTATATACAACTACATGTGAAGGGAGAAAGAGTCTAGACTAATGACCACCCTCCTGGCCCGCCATCCCGCCATCCCTGTCTCAGAAGCTATTATGCACATATCACCTGAAACATCTGTAAATATTTCAGTAGTCCTTGCTCTATTTTGTAGTTCTTGTATTTTAATTTTATAATTATTAAAGTGATAATTATCACCTGATTTAAAAAGTTAAACCACTGAAGAGCTTCTAGAGAACATTTCCCTGCCCCACACTTTTCTCTCCCCACACCCTGCGCTCAGCAGTTTCACCTTTTCTTTTTACTTTTTCTTTTTTTTTTTTTTTTTGAGACAGAGTCTCACTCTGTCACCCAGTCTGGAGTGCAGTGCTACCTCGGCTTACTGCAACCTCTTCCTCCCAGGTTCCAGAGATTCTTCTGCCTCAGCGTCCGGCGTAGCTGGGGTTTTAGGCATGTGCCACTACTCCCAGCTAATTTTTGTAATTTTGTATTTTTAGTAGAGACGGGGTTTTGCCATGTTGGCCAGGCTGGTCTCAAACTCCTGAGCGCAGGTGATCCGCCTGCCTTGGCCTCCCAAAGTGCTGGGATTAGAGGCATGAGCCACTGCACCTGGCCTCACTTTTTCTTTCATCCAGAACCTGCCCCCGTATTTCTTGATTGCTCAAATTATCAGCCACAGACATCGTTTACTGACTTCTAGCTGACAAATGACTATGTAACTTACTCGCACCCTACCTCCCTTTCCTTTACTATTTTGATCACTTTAAATAATAAAGCTCTATTTCTTGTATCAACTGTAGACAGTTTCTTCCTCTTACTCTTTCTCTCTTAGAATTACAGATGTTTTGTTTTCTAAGGTCAAAAGGGAAGACAAAAAGCCAGTTTAATTACTAAGCTACTCTGCTGACACCTGTGTGAAATACAGGTCCTTTCTGCTAAGAATTACGATGTAGGTGCCCCTGGCTGTCAGAGGCTGTGGGCGGGTAGCCAAATCATTGTTTTACTTCCCCTCCGAGCACCCTCAAGCCTGCAGAATAATACCAGCTGTTTATTTTTCACTGCGCTCCCTCTCCAGGGCAGGCCTGCAAAACCCATGCTCAGCCATCTTGGGTTACCCTCATGTTTGAATCATGGTTCTAATGTTAAATAGCTCAGTTCCTTTTCTTATAAAATGGAGCAGCTTTGTCTTGACGGTACCAGGTGCATAGTAAGCCAAACAAGTTAAACCCAAACACTTTTTAAGCACTTGTGTATTAGCCATGGCAGTTCCTTACTAGAGGGAGTTGATGCTCTCTTCTGTTTGTGATAGAAAATTGGAAGCAACCTATGCCTATCAGCAGAAAATTCATAACCTATCATATAGACAAGGAATCTTCAATAAATTCATGGAAAAATGAGTATTATGAAAAAACAATGCATAGATTTCTTTTTTTTTTTCTTTTTGAGACAGAGTCTCTCTCTCTGTCACCCTGGCTGGAGTGCAGTGAAGCGATCTCAGCTCGCTGCAACCTCTGCCTCCTGGGTTTATGATATTCTCGTGCCTCAGTCTCCCAAGTAGCTGGGACTACAGGCACATGACAGCACACTCAGCTAATTTTTTTTTATTTTTTATTTTTAGTAGAGATGGGTTTTTGCAATGTTGGCCAGGCTGGTCTTGAACTCCTGGCTTCAAGTGACCCACTTGCCTCGGCCTCCAAAAGTGCTGGTATTACAGGCATGAGCCACCATGCTCAGCCTAAATTTCAAATATTCTTGCACCAAAATAAACTCATACTAAATTCTTATATCTGAACAGAATCGATATAAAAGGCACTAAGAAGGACATCGGTTTGAAAAGAGCCCCTATCATAGCAATACGAATTCTGCAAAAATTAAAGCAAGAGAAAACATCAAATTTATGGTGAAGCATGGGTGGAAGAATAATGTAATCATTGGAGCTTTATGAAAAGTTTATGGGGACAATGTCCAAAGAAATCAGCAGTTTACAAATGGATAATTCATTTAAGAAGGAACAAAATGGTGTTGAAGGCCACAGCAGCAGATAATTTGCAAGGAAAAAATTCATCTTGTTCATGCCCTCATTTAAGAGAACCAATGATTGATAGCAGAAAGAATATCTGACACCTATTCAATTGGTTCAGCTTACACAATTTTGACTGAAAAATTAAAGTTAAGCGAACTTTCCACTCAATGGGTACCAAAACTGTTTTGCCCAGATCAGCTGCAGACAAGATCCTGAAGCATGTCTTCAAGGAATTGTAACAGGAGGTGAAACACGGCTTTACTAGCACAATCCTGAAGACAGAGAATAATCAAAGCAATGGCTAGCAAGTGGTGGAAGGGGTCCAGTCACAGCAGAAGCAGGCAGGTCAAGAGCAAAGGTCATGGCAACAGTTTTTTTTGTGATGCTCAAGGCATTTTGCTTATTGACTTTCTGGAGGGCAAAGAATGACAACATCTGCTGTTTATGAGTGTTTGGAGAAAGTTAGCTAAAACGTTAACAGAAAAGCACCTGAGAAAGCTTCACTGGAGAGTCCTTCTCCACTATGGCAAACGCTCCTGCCCATTCCTCTTATCAAACAATGGCAACTTTGCCAGCGTTTCAGTAGAAAATCACTAGGCATCCACCTTACAGTCCTGATTTGGCTCCTTCTGGCTTCTTTTTGTTTTCTAATCTTAACAAATCTTTAAAGGAAACTCATTTTTCTTCAGTTAATAATGTAAAAAGACTGCACTGACATGGCTAAATTCCCAGTACCTTCAGTTTTTTAGGGATGAGCTAAATGGCTGGTATTCCTGCTTACAAAATTGTCTTGAACTTGATGGAGCTGATATTGAGAGAAAAGTTTATATTTTGTATTTTTATTTCTTCCATTTTTTTCCAGAAACATTTTGAAGTCCCCTCATATGATACAATGAAATGATAGATTAGTCAACATAGATAAATCCCAAAAACAGTGAGTGAAGAAAGCAAGTTGTAGAAGGAAATAGTATGTGGTGACGGCCAAGCAATCCGGATGTTTCTGGGAAAGTGTTTTTGGATGAGACTAACATTAACATTGGTGGACTCTGAGTAAAGCAGGCCGCCTGCCCTCCATGATGTGGGTATTCTCATCCAGTCAATCCTGGGATTTTTTTTTTTTTTGGACAGTCTTGCTCTGTCGCCCAGGCTGGTGTGCAGTGGTGTGATCTCGGCTCACTGCAACATCTGCCTCCCAGGTTCAAGCCATTCTCCTGACTCAGCCTCCTGAGTAGCCGAGATTACAGGTACCTGCCACCACACCTGGCTATTTTTTTTAAGTAGAGGCAGGGTTTCACCATGTTGGCCAGGCTGGTCTTGAACTCCTGACCTTGGGTGATCTGCCTGCCTCGGCTTCCCAAAGGGCTGGGATTACAGGTGTGAGCCACTGCACCTGGCCCAGTTGCAGGATTTAGTAGAGCAAAGACTGAGACCCCCTGAGAAAAATGGGATTCTGCCAGCAAATGGCCTTCAGCCTTGAACTGCAGTGTCAGCTCTTCCCTGGGCTTCCAACCTGCTGACACTTTGATCTTGGACTTCCAGCCTTCATAACTGTGTGAGCCAATTCCCTAAAATAAATCTCTCTGTACACATTCTATTGGTTATGTTTCCCTGGAGAACCCTAATACACAGCATCACACAATATAACAGAAAGCTAAAAATAATGCAAAATAGTCCCATAAAGGGTTTATATACATACATAGTAAAACATTCGTGGGAGTGGTAAGCACCAAATTTAGGGCAGTAGTGACCTCTGGGGGTGGGCGGAGAATTGAATCAGGATAGAGTACAAAGGCAGTTTTAATTGTATCTAAAATCTTTGATTTCATGTTTCAGAAGAAGGTTTTTAACAAATAACACTGAGTTGACAATGCTGAGTATTAGGTGCCTTTTTATGTGTTAAAAATATTTCATAATTAAGAACGAAATGAGATCTCACAAATAAAATCAACTCGGAAAAGAAAGCTAGCACAGTGACTGATACATCTTGGGTCCCTGACAGACAGGGAGAGACTGGCTGGGACGGGTTTGATGGAGAAGGCAGGTGGAAGCGGGGCGGGAAGGGGCGGTGTGCAAGTGTGGCCTCAGGGAACCGCAGACGGGGGGGCTGTGGAGGTCACGTGGACGCAGTCACAGTCACCCAGGTGGCTCTCCAACAGGCCCTGCCTGTTTACCAGAAGGTGTCCCTGCAGAGACAGTTATCTCCCACTTTCCTCTGACAAGATGTTTCCTGGGCACTCGCCAACATCAGAGGAATCTAAGTTCCTCAGAAATTCTCTTGGGACGCGTTGAGGCTTAAGGGAAGGCGGAGGTTGCGCCTTTCTTAACCCAGGCGTGGCTGCTGCGACAGGTACTGTCACTGCGCTGACAGATCCTCTTTTTTTTTTTTTTTTAAACCAGTTTTTTGTGTCCCCAGGTTCTGTGAGCGTTCAATCCCCACGGCCAGTCCCTGTGGCTCATTTGTGGAGCAGTGCTCTAGGGCACCAGAGCCTGGCCTTCTGTCTCTGCCTGACAGCCAGGGGCATGAAAGCCCAGCTCCCTGGCTTGGGGGTGGGGCAGCCCTGAGGTCGCTCCCTTGCTTGCTTCTCCAGGACCCGCCTCCCTGTCTCTTGCAGGTTTCCCCAGGAGCACTTCCATAGCACACGGCCCACAAGTGAATGCTAGATTTGGGCTTTGCTTCTGAGGAGTCCAGTTTAAGGTAAGTGTTCTCCACAGCCTCGTGCTCTTCCTCCTGGAAACTCTCAAGGGTCAGGCTAGCTTGAGCTTTAGTCTGTCGAGAGTGGATCTGGGCGCAGAGGCTCTGGAATCCGACCACCCAAGTTAAAGGTCTTGTCTATCATTTCTCGCTGTGAACCTTGGAAAAGTTACTTAACTGTGCTGTGCCTCAGTTTCCTCATCTATAAAAAGGAATCATACAAGTAATGGTCTCTTAGGGTTGTTGTGAGGTTAAATGAATTAAGATGTGCAAAACCCTCAAAACAAATTCTGGCATCTAGTAGATGCTCAATAAATGTCAGTTTTCTTAATCTCCACTGGAACTAAGGGACACTTATGGGTAATAAAGGGATAGATATGCTTTACCCCCTGGCCCATCCAGGCTAATGTAATGAAGGGAACAAACTATTCTCTGTTGTGTAGAAACATAACCTCAGTTGATTCCAGTGGGACAGAATGGACAGTTTAGTGTGTTGTTGCCAGAATGGATGTGGCTGATGTCCTATTGGAAGAATCGTGGAAGAATCCTCACCCTTCCTCTGCCTGAAACTCCACCCCATTTTCCAACCCCAAGCTGGCTGAGGAGCAGGGAGATGGGATTCTGGTAAGCAGAGGATCAGGAAGGGCAGGTAACTGCTCACTCCACCTTGTGTGAACATCAGCAAGAAAGAAGGTATAGGGCTCAACGTGTTAGACTATGATTGGGAAACCAAGGTTCAAGTCCTGGCTCTTCCTTTTCCCCGTTCACGGATTTATCACTTCTGAGCTTCAGCTTCAGTTTCTTTATCTGTAAAAAGGAGGCAACGACACCTGTTCTGTTTATTCTGCAGGAAGGCTGGGAGGATCTAGAGGACGCAGCCATGGAGAACATGCTGGGTTCCTTGAGCTGCTAAGCACTGAAGTCCCGCCAATGGTGACAAGGGTTTAGGGAGAACATTGCAATTACACAGTCAAGATGATCCTTGGAAATCTTTTAGAAGGGCACCGTCTTGGAGACCCACAATCAATAAGAGCAGCACGGCTGAGAGTTTTCTCCAGCATTTGAATAAATTGTTATTTCTTTGGTTGAACCATAATGTGATAATTGGCTTAAACTAGGAGTCATGCATGGTATCTGGAAACTTCCTCACTTGAAACACCAGCATCATGCTCAGCCTGCATAATTCTCTCATCATGAGAGGCACATGGGAAACAAGCCAGCCTGTCTGGAGAGGAAGCAAATGCATGTCTTCCATCTCCCGCTCAGCACTGGGCATATCCTCCTGGAGAAGCAGAAATGACAGCACCACTTAAATGGTGTTTCTCTCTCTCTGCCCTGTACCTGCTGGAGGCACATGCCCATATCATGTAGGGTGTCAGGGCAGAGAGCTCTTAGGAAGAGCTGAGCTGTGAGGACCACCTCCCATACAGAAGAGGGAAGCCCCGGCAGAGTTATCTGCCATGTGCTTCTAGGCTTCCACAACTCAGAAATTTTATTATAGAGTTTTAGAATGTGATGAGCTCTTGGAAATCATGAAGATGAAGAATCAAGGTGAAGGTTTAGTGGCTTGTCCCAGGCCCCAGAGTGGCCCTTTGCTTTTTGGAATCCAACAGCAAGGACTCGTGGAATATCATGGGCTTTGACTAGGAGATGCAGGGCTCGAACTTCATCTTTGTCACTTAGTGATTGTATAATTCTCTAAGTCTCCCTATTTGTGGAAAGGAGGTAAGAGAACTTCCTTTCCTGGATTGCAAGATGATTAAAAGAGATGTATGTGTTATAGGATGTTCAATTTTCTGAGCTGAGATGACTGCAAAGTCACTGCACTCCTCTTACGACGCCTGCAGGTGCTTCCATCTTTGGGAGATGTGGAGCCCTTGACAGGCACGTCATCTGGGGGTCATTTGGGAGGGTAGCCTGCAAGGGTGAGGGGATGCCAGCGGGCCATACTGCAGGGGCAGAAGCTTGGGGGGAGGGGTCACAGAAGGTCAACTGAAGAAGGGGCTTGTGCCTGCAGATGCCCCAGCAGGGGAGTCTCAGAGGAATCCAGAAAAGTGTTTCCAAGAGAAAGAATCTGGCTTAAACTTTAGCTGGACCCAGACAATGACACCAACTTAATATCTGACAAGGAAGAGCGTTCCCCCTTCCGCTCCCTTCCACTCCCCCTTCCGCTCCCCCTTCCGCTCCCCCTTCCTTTCCCTTCCATTTCCCCTCCCTTCGTCCTGCTTAGATTTCAGTGGGCTGGAAACAGCCACTGTGAAGTGGGAGTGAGGAGAATAGCAAGAAAGGGAGACGGAGCTGTCCTCCCTGGCAGGGGAGAAAATGAGGGTTGATGTGTTGAATAATATGTATCAACTAGACATTCTATTTTCTGAATTGACACTTTTGTGATTTAAAACGAGTGTGACATTTTTACTTTCCTGCATGTCATCAAAAAAATCATGGGACCCTCCATGCTTTTGCCCAGGGATTGGGAAGAGTATCTACCATCCACTGAGCAAGTTGAAAGGGATCTTGAGCGAGGTCTCTATCAAACCAAAGCTGCGTTTGTAACTACGTGAGTCCTTCCTGTTCAACCTGCAGTTGTCATTCGTCGCATGCCCAGCACAGTGCTTGGCACATGACAGCAATGGACCAATGTGTGGATTTGTTTATGCTTCAACCCTCCTAGACCTCCAGGTCCCAGAGTCCAAGAATTTTGACTCTAATATTTGAATTCCCATAGTGCCTAGTGCATAGTAGGCCCTCATTAAGTAACTCATGAATGACCATAATAAAAGTGAAACCTGTGCCACCCTTATAGTAGCCACCATGAGAATGTCACACTGAGAGGCTGCTGGTGGGGAAGAAGGCAGGGCTGAAGCATGCCACCATCACCCAAGATTCTGTATGTACACGTGACACTAGTTACACCCACAGGCTAAAGAGCTGTAGCCCTGTCTCTGACACTGACTAAGCCTTTTCCCTTTAATTTCATTCTCTTTTACATTTCAAAAGGATCAGAACCAGGCCAGGCACAATGGCTTATGCCTGTATCACAGTACTTTGGGAAGCTGAGGCAGGTGGACCACCTGAGGTCAGGAGTTCGAGACCAGCGTGGCCAACATGGTGAAACCCCATCTCTAAAAACACAAAAATTAGCTGGGTATGGTGGCACACACCTGTAATCCCAGCTACTGGACAGGCTGAAGCACGAGAATTGCTTGAACGTGGGAGGCAGAGGTTGCACCACTGCATTCCAGCCTAGGTGATGGAGTGAGACTCTGTCTTAAGAACAGCAGCAACACCATCACCACCACAGAAAAGGATCAGGACCGTGATGCAGATAACCGTCCTTTTCCAGGTAAAGCAGCTGGAGGTGGGAGAGATTCGGGACCTGGGCAAAAGTATTTGGTGGTCTGAGAGTGGAACTCAGGACCCTTGACTCTAAACTCAAGCTCCGACCTAAGCTCCAAAGCAAACCAGAATGCACCTGAAAAAGGAAAGGAAGGAGGTTTCTTCTGTCATGAATAGAAGCAGAAGAAAATAGGAACAGACTGGCTGGTTAATATATGTAAAGTCTCAGGGCAAAATGAAATTTTATGGTTGATTTATAATCCTCAAGCGATTGGGAGTTGTCCTGGAAATTTTGACATGAACAGGACGACTGCAGGGCAGTATGAATTGCGTGACTGGCTTCCCAGGATCAAGGTGGCTTTGGCAGTCAGGAGGTGATTATAGGAATGCAGGGCGGGACACAAATAACATTTTGCAGCTGGGTGACTAGATACGCAAGACAGTTCCTGGAGCAGCCGGCAGGTGGCGCCACCTGCCAAGGGAACCAGGACACAGGCGGTAGCCCAGACACGCCCATCTCAAAGGGGCTCTGGCAGCTCTGACTTGGTCCGCAGACCGCTGCCACGAAGTGGAATGCTCCTGAGACATTGGGACCATCCCTGTGTACCGCCGTGCAAATGCCCATTTCTCCCCCTGCGCCCGCCACCCCCCACCACCCGAGGGTGGCGGGGCGGATGATGTCAGAAGGGCTATGCAGCCCATGTGGTTATTATTAACTACTAGAAATGATGACACGAATAACTGCCACAGTTTGCCGAATGCTTACCATGGCAAGGCGCTATGCTAAGTGTTCTAAGTGAATTATTTAATTCCCACATCAACACTGTGGAATAAATAGTACCCTCATTTTACAGATCATAACGTTGGAATTCAGAGAGATTAAGCAATTTGCCTTGGGTCACAAAGCCAGCCAATGGCAAAATCAGTTTGAACTCGGTTCTTTCACACTCCATAGCTTACACCCATAACCACTGTGATATTCTGTCTCAGTCTGTCTCCCTCCCTCCCTTCCTCTTCCATCCTTCCTACTTTCCTTATTGCCTTCCTGACTTCCTTCTCTTCTTTCTTTGTGCCTGGCATTGTGCTAGTTTGAGGTTCAGAAATAATCAGACCATACCTCTGCTCTGAGGATTTTCAGTGTAACAAGGAAGCTCACAATCACAGCAGTGGATGTCTGGAACCATGATGGCGTGTGTCCGAGAAGACGCAAGAAGGCTCAAGTATTCAGTACCAGCTCTAGGCAGGCACGATCCTGGGGGTTGTCCAAGTTGAAAATCCCAGCTGTTCATTGGTTTAATCTGGGCTTTTGTGAACTTGGGCGAGGTGCTGGCTTTTCTGTCTCTTGGCAAACCCCCATCCGGACAATTTCTCCCTGCACTGCCATTTGGCAACACCTGGGCTACATTCTGGCCGGTGTTGGGCTGGGGGTTAATACAAATGCCACTTCATCAATGTTGGGGCGTAGGCTACCAACCGACCCTCAGGAATGAAGGAGGTACCCCAAATGTACTGGACATTCTCATTTCCAGCCAGTCAGCCAAAGGATGGGGGCAAGGAGCCCATCAGAGGCTGTCTCTCTTCTATAGGCTTCATCCACTGCTCAGAGATGAGGAGCAGTGACATCCTCCTCTACGGCTGCAGGCTTGGGAAATCAGAACATTT